CGTTTACCCTTGCTGCTGCTGAGACCCTTATCCATCGCTTCATCATCATCGTCCGACTTGACGACTACTTTCCGGAGCTCAGACATGAGCATCTCCGACTGAATGAAGCGTTATTGATTACATTTGTTTCCGTAGGAACACATCTCCAATTATATAATGGCTTCGATAAACGGAATTTCTCTTTACAGACAACTTTTCATGAACGTATCTGTTCCTTATATCGAGGAATGCCTGTATTTTAAGAGACCGATTTATTTGTAATAGATCTATACTTGCCACTATTGCTTCGTATATATCTTAAAAATGCAAGAGTGATCTTGATTTCCTCGTTACAATGTATTGCTTTCTGGAAATACCATAAACCATGTTAAATGTACGTTCCTGGTAAAATATGCTGACTGTTTGCAAAATGAAACTGCAATTGGCTCAAGGAGGTATGAAACACTCTCAAGCATGCAGTATGCCAAGGACACATTTCAAACACTTTTTGTGAAGTGCTCCTCCAACTTCTAGCGCATCAGGAATCCCAGCATTATTCACTGCAATTGGAAACTCACCACTCACTGTTTATTAATCAATTTTATCAATGTTGGTGTGATAACAACATAGTCCCTGCCCCTCTATAGAAATGCCCATTTTGAAGTACCTAACGAATGTATCTAAACTAACCTATTGGTCTCAGTTATGTGAAATAAGTAATCTACCATGTCGCTAATTACCGTACATTCATCACGGGCAAGGGCATAGGATACTTGGCAGTGGAGTTTGTCTGGTGCCAGGATGTAGAGTGGAGTTTGTCTGGTGCCAGGATGTAGAGTGGAGTTTGTCTGGTGCCAGGATGTAGAGTGGAGTTTGTCTGGTGCCAGGATGTAGAGTGGAGTTTGTCTGGTGCCAGGATGTAGAGTGGAGTTTGTCTGGTGCCAGGATGTAGAGTGGAGTTTGTCTGGTGCCAGGATGTAGAGTGGAGTTTGTCTGGTGCCAGGATGTAGAGTGGAGTTTGTCTGGTGCCAGGATGTAGAGTGGAGTTTGTCTGGTGCCAGGATGTAGAGTGGAGTTTGTCTGGTGCCAGGATGTAGAGTGGAGTTTGTCTGGTGCCAGGATGTAGAGTGGAGTTTGTCTGGTGCCAGGATGTAGAGTGGAGTTTGTCTGGTGCCAGGATGTTGAGTGGAGTTTGTTTGGGGCCAGGATGTAGAGTCGAGTTTGTCTGGTGCCAGGATGTAGAGTGGAGTTTTTTTGGTGCCAGGATGTAGAGTGGAGTTTGTCTGGTGCCAGGATGTAGAGTGGAGTTTGTCTGGTGCCAGGATGTAGAGTGGAGTTTGTCTGGTGCCAGGATGTAGTGTGGAGTTTGTCTGGTGCCAGGATGTAGAGTGGAGTTTGTCTGGTGCCAGGATGTAGAGTGGAGTTTGTCTGGTTCCAGGATGTAGAGTGGAGTTTGTCTGGTGCCAGGATGTAGAGTGGAGTTTGTCTGGTGCCAGTGTAGTGTTGTACAGGCGGACTCTTCAACGTCTTTTGTAGCACACACTTTTATTCGTCTTATGAACACAGTCCCTATGCACTGAGGGGTATACGGTCCCCTCACCCGTTACACTCAGAACGTACAAGTCTCCGCACCCTACAGGCTACTTAATATCCCGCTCTTTCAATGTCCTCTGACTGGACCTAGGGAGATGTCTCCCCGACCACTGGTTACTCTGAACCCTAGTCCTTACAAGGGCTGGAGGGCTTGGTCCAGGGTCCTAGGCTTCTTCCGCCGTCTTGGGTTTTCGTGTAGTCGAACTCCCCGAGAGCTCTGAGCGCTCTGGCTTTATACTTGTTCGTGGCCGGGTTGTCCAATCCCCGGCCACCTTGTGGAACCCTGTGATTGGTCGTTCCCAATCTGCTTTTCGATCCCAAATCACCCTATCTGACCCTGACCGTTTGGTCGCGCGGGAAAACCTTGTTTACGGTCAGCTCTCACAGCTTGTGAGACCCTGACCGTTAGTTTGAGTGGGAAAACCTTGTTAACGATTTGCTCTCCCAGTTTGTGAACATCGAGTAGTTAACTCTACTACACCAGGATGTAGAGTGGAGTTTGTCTGGTGCCAGGATGTAGAGTGGAGTTTGTCTGGTTCCAGGATGTAGAGTGGAGTTTGTCTAGTGCCAGGATGTAGAGTGGAGTTTGTCTGGTGCTAGGCTCTAATGAAAGCTGTCTCGTGTGTGGACCAATCAACTTCAAGGACAGTGCATATCATTATCATCATCAGAGTTGTTTCTTTTTGTTTGCATTTTGACTACTTGTGTTGTGGTTTTGCAAACATTATGCCTTGTATAAAGGTGTCAGTTTTGTACCAGTTTAAAGGGTAAAAACCTACTACTTTATTTTGCCACTGGTAAAGGAGGTCTCATAGTGTAAATGCTTACCCCGAGCTCTCAATACTCTGATAGTGCACTGTTTTTGAGTTGTACGCCTTCTGGTGTCATCTGGTCCAACACCAATGGAGACTAGGCTCTAAGGAAAGCTGTCTCGGGTGTGGACCAATCAACTTCAAGGACAGTGCATATCATTATCATCATCAGAGTTGTTTCTTTTTGTTTGCATTTTGACTACTTGTGTTGTGGTTATTGCAAACATGATGCCTTGTATAAAGGTGTCAGTTTTGTACCAGTTTAAAGGGTAAAACCCTACTACTACTGTGTAGTAGTATTTAGTGACTGTAGTAACTACTGACCACAGTAGTATTTACTGGGCCTACAGTAGTATCTACCGACTATATAGTAGTAACGACTAACTGTATAGTATCTGCTGACTCTATAGTAGTATCCACTGACTATAGTAGTAACTACTAACTCTATAGCAGTATCTACTCACTCTATTTCAACCGTGATGATGGTTACAAACTGAGTAATCATTGTAAAGATGTGATTAACCATGCAAAAAAGATTTAACTACACTTATTTGGACCATCTTATTTGACAGACAACTATTACAGGTTATTGATAGACAGCCAGGCTTGTTTTACCATGTTTAGTTTGTTTCTTTTTTCACACTATTGTTATGTAGGCCAGGCTTAGTCACAAACCGTACCTCTCCATAACAAAGGCTCAGCCTTTTAAGCCTCACCTTACCATATTAATAAAAAGTGTGCCGTACTTGGCCCTTCCCCCTCTCCAACCATTATATATACGGAGTGGTAGCTCTTGCAATCTCTCATTTACTTGATACAGCTGTCGTGGCTGTGACCGTTCCACCTGAAGACGGAAGCTTGTGTTGCCTCCGAAACGTCGTGATTTTTATTTTATTTTACTTTTATTAATTTTAATGTTTTGCCTACGTGACTTTACTAAAAAACCTAAGAATATGAAACGGGAATAGGCCGATTCTAAATGAATCGCGCAATTCCTTTGCGCGATTTAAAGAATCGATTCTTGGCGCGCTGTGGATTTATATTTTTTTATTACACACTTTTTACAACTTTTTGGACTTGTGCAAGCCTCTTATATATTTGTTGGTATAGAAATGTACAAACGGCCCACCGGGCTTTGACAATACCTTAGTATCTGTGTATATATATGTAAGGTTTTTAAGAAATATATTTTTCACCTGGGCAACGCCGGGTACTTCCGCTAGTTTAATATAATTTAAACCGACGTTTTGTACAAATGTACCTGGTGTTAGTGGACGCGTTATTACAAGAGTGAACTACATTTAAAATTGACGTTGCTGTGGTTCCAAGAGAAGCTTGGAATTTTAATGGAATGGCAGAAAATATTTCACATTCTTGATGTGCCAAAAAATCTGTGCATTTTCGTTCCTTTCGCTACATTTAGCAAATAAAAAAACGACTCGACTGCTCTATAAAGTAGTATTTGATATACAGTCCGTAGTTATATTCTACGTACATTAAATTATAAATCACTTGCAGAGGAGACGTTTCTTAATGCCCTGGTTGACCTACTCCCTCTACTGACGCATCCATAGACTGTAACAGCACAACACGACTATTTTTAAAGTGTAAAATACACGAAGAAAGCCACGCAAATCACACAATCAAAACAAATCACGTTTGATACATTTTCTAAGTGCATAATTTTTTAAGGTAACAAAATAACATGCCGTGCTAAAAAGGGGCTATAGATTGCTCACACTTATTAAAGAACAACCAGTCACCAGTGTTCCAGTATTCTCATATTCTCAAAAACTTAAAGGCCACTTTCACGTTATGCAAGTTGTATGTTTTCATTGTATACACATCGTGTGTACGTGAACACGCAGTCACGCACTTACACAGAATAAGGAATCCTCTTCTGGAGCCCCATTCACGTTTGTATCAAAAAAATATACAGCAATCTCTCTCCTGTCAAACACCAATCACAGAACCTCATCCCGAATGCTTCCTGGCAATGCCTGTGGTACCCCTTCCACCTTGCATTACTCTGCGACATTTCACCCTCTTGAAAGACCTGTTCCATTTGCCATCCTCGGGGACAGATTTAGTTTAATGAAGGCCCCAGGATGTTATAGTTTTTTGGGGGTTGGGGTACTTGTTTGTATTTTCCATTCTGTTCGATGACTGTTTTATGACCAATGCCAAACCCTGCAATGTTATGTACCTTTGTTATTTCACTTACAGTTTTTTTTTTACATGATACACGGATTGTAAAGCTAAATCAGAGTTACAATGAACAAAGTTAAAATGAACAAAACTATATTAATTTTGCCACCTTGCTGGTAATTGTTAACCTGGGGGTCATTCTTGTATAACAGCTTACGGCTAAAAGTTTTACTCCAGCCATGACAATCCACTTCAGACACTATGAGACATCTCCTTTACCGGTGGCAAAATATAGTCATAGGTTTTTACCCCTTCAACTGGTACAACAACTGACACCTTTATACAAGGCATCATGTTTGCAATGAGCACAACACAAGCAGTCAAAATGCACACAAAAAGAAACAACTCTGATGATGACCAGGTATACCCTTCAGCTCTTCGCCCCCATGCCCTCTCGCCCTTCCTCACCTGAGTGCAGCTTGAGAAGCAGCGTCGGGGTTGTCTGGTGGCAGCAATTCCTCGGCCAGCAGCTGCTGTGGCGACACGTCCTGGAGGTCTCTGGCAGGGGCCGTCCTCCGTCTGCGTGCAGACGTCTGCTTGCGTTCAGATGCTGCAGGGATTCCCAACCTCTCTGCCACCGCCGCTGGTAAATTTGTACCTGCGTTGTGAGATGTCAAAGACAGAGAATTGCACGCATCCATGAAGTCGCCTTGCATGAGTCCTTCAAAATGATATGCCCTGGATATTGTTAGCGAGTTGCCAAAAGGCTGCCGGCTGCACTGTGTGAGCTTAGCTGGACAAGATGTTCCGGTCAATTACTGTGGATCGTAAATTAATGTTATCAATACAATTACGAGAGTGTTAACTATGGTTATCAGGGGCAGTACTGTGATGAACAGCTGCCTCCGTGAACGTGAAGCAAACCTAGGATCAACAATGTGAGCATGTGCCCAGTGATGATTCAGGGGCTATTTTTGATTGCTCTCTATAGAATATGTTCTAAACTTTTTTTTCATTTGCACATCAGCGTTAAGTAACATTTCACAATTCGGCTCTTGAGAGGAAGCTGTCAACCAACAGGGGAGACACATTGGCGCATTAGTCATCACGAAGAATCCCACATGTGAAGACGTGAACCGAGCCTATGTGTGCGGTGTAACGTTTGACTGTAAAGGATTTCATCGTATAAATCTCAAGGATATACTACTACACACTAAGGGATATCTACACGGGATTCAAGTAGTGTTACTTTAGCACAACTCCGTACATCACACCTCCCACACACTCGTTGTTAATACATTGGACACTGTCGTGGCATGCTGCTTTGTGAGAAATACGTTTCTTATTGCTTGCCCTGGTATCTGAACACGTGTACCATGACGCATACCAATAGGGAATGAAACAGACAAAAGGGCAGCAGGGAATGTTCATTTTAAAAGACATAGCATGAAATAATGTAATACGCTGTGGATAAATGTACACAGACCAATATATTGTACTAAAGTGATGAAGAGTTCTTAATATATTATGCAAGCCATTTTGCTTGCACAGTTATTGAAATAAATACTCTTGAACAAAATAAAAATGTGCAAAAACTTACTCTTCCAGCGGCAGATGTCTGTGGATAATATAGTTCACTGTTTTGTTCCAAAAAGTTCCCAGGAAAGGCCAACAAAACACAATCTCTAATGTGTGTGTGTGTATGTGTGCACCTGTGTGTTTAACACTTTACTTTATACAATGAATAATTCAGCAAAAGAAGAGCCAGCGGCTCAGCGATTCTGTGAAGGGAAAGGTCAGCCAGAAGAGAGTTCACATTGAAAATGACACGAGATAAAGATCTCAGCTTCCAGTCAGTGACCAAAATGGTTTAAATCACCTGGAGCCAATTGTATTTGCTGCACGAAGCTATAGAGTACAGAGTTATTGCATGTCTCTGACTCCCGTAGACGAGAATAAAAATACATATATATATACAAATATTACTATTTTTAAATACAATGCATGCCGGACGTGTACTTAACTCTACTTTGTTTGCATTTACAAAAATCACTGGTGCCTATCGTATGAATTGATAACGGCTTGAAACAACTTATGTAACGTGACCTCAAAACAAGTACCATAAACATACAGAGGTTTAAAATTGCAGTGCATAAAAACAATGTGATAACGAGGTAGTGATTTATCACGGTTATGTGTGGGTTTGTGGTCTAGCATGCTGCAACACTCGTGTAACGGGGATGTCACACACATTGGACATTAGGTGCTGACCCCAATCAACTTCTTTCATCAGTCAAAGTAAAATGGTCAAAGAAGCTTGGAGCTGCCTGCCAAGTGCATTGTTGACTGACTGAGGCACCTTGAATCTTTATCCAAGGATAATAGTGACGACTGTACAGTTGATAAGATGCACAAGGTAATTCAGGGACTTGAACACACCCGCTGAGCACAGGCCTCAAGGCACAAAATGTTAAACGGCCAGCAAAACAAACGGCGCGACCAGAGTTATAATAGATAATGGTGGAACACGTTTTTTTTCTTGAATTAAGGAAATGTCATTAGAGCTGGGAAAAGTGAAGACAGAGGGGCATTCCAAAGTCGATCAGTGTGAGGGCCAAAGGCAGAAAGAGAAGTGTTTTGACCTGCAGTGTGGTGGTTGAACATAGTGTGGACCTGATGAAACAGTCAGTCGAATAGACCGACTCCTCAAAATGGGTGGAAATTAAGTGCACATGAAGAGGAGCAATGATAGTAGCAATATAATTTTTTTTTTTTAAATTTGTTTTATTTGTAGATATTTTTTTTAAGTTACTTATTTATCTTTCCTATACTGTGCACTCCTATCGTGTCTTTGTATTGTTTGTTGTTGTAACGTTCTGATCTGCTCCTACTGGACATCTGTGAAAATAGCTTCATACCTCATCGGATTCCTCCAGTTTGAATACAGATTCTGAGAAGAGCCGCCAGTGGGCTAGTGAATAGAGTGAATTCGTGAGTGCTGGTTCACGAATCAAGCCGACTGCATTATGTTGAATTCTATCAAGTGCATTGAGGTAGGAACTGGGTGCTCCACCAGAGATATAACAATAGGATTCCAACTATGATCCAATGGTTGCTTCGTTTAGTAATAAGAACCGTTCCGAGTTTAAGAGGCTTTGGCACTAAGAGAAAAAATAAGCTTTTTCGATGCCGCCTTAGCCAGATTAGTAACACGACCATTCCATGACAGCTCAGATGAGATTGTTGTGCCAAGCAGTTGAATGGTTTTACGATGGATTAGAATAACGTTGTTACATTTGATGGGAGGAACTGTGCAGTTGCCAGTCTTATGTGAAACGATTATTGACTGCGAGTTTTTTATATATATATATAACGTGACCAGGTTTTTGTCACCCCAATCAAGAACTGCATTCAAGTCAGCGGTGATCGATAGTGAAGTACGTTTATTGGCGTGTTGGGCAGCGAAATGTCCAGTAAGTACGTTCAGCTGAGTGTTTGAGGATACAATAGCAGGAGGATGATTGGCCTCATATTTAGTTTCTTTTCAAAATGTCTAAGGCAATTATAGAAAGGAAATGATGCCAGACAGAATGATGACACTGTTAAAAGAAAACTGACATTGAGATGGGTTTTTTTTTGTATTGTGCATGCTTTGAATACATATGCTAAGTTTGTTGAGCTTTGTATTCATTGAGGATAAACATTATATATTGTTGACCAATTACAGGAAGGCATTGACACCATTGCTAACGTCACTCAATATATGAGAAATAACACTGAGTTAAATCGCTTGCATATCCGAAGTAACGTTTATAATTGTGCTCTAATGTAGGATGACAGATACGAAATAAATGAATCATCTGTGCAGCGTGAAGGGACCCGTTGTCTTGTAAGTTACTGGTAGGAGCGGCTATTGCAGGCACCAGATGTAATGACGTGGTGCTTCTTCTGGAATTATGCTCCACGTGTGCAAGTCTGCTGTGTGTAGTTAGTTATATATATAAAAATAAATATTTTTAAAAAACATTCATTTTTGGCCCTGTGCCATTACACCAACCACAATTTTGGGACATAAAATGCATTTTTAATTATTATAATATTAAATGTAGTGTTTTGATTATCATATTAAGTTGTAAGGATGAAATATGGAATCGACCACACTGCCATTAGCACGCTTGGCCACGTACGGTGTGAAAAAAGTTCAACATACATACATACATATGCAAACTGAACATTTCGCATTGGACTGTGTTTACAGTGAAGACGCTTTGACACGTCCTGTGTACAAGCTGCATGAGGGAGCAGTAGTGCAGCGATTCACAAACTTAAATATCAACTCGGAAACCTGAGTTCGATTCCAAGTTACGGCTAACATCAGTGGAACGTGACATATTCGTCGTCCAGAAATGGATTTAAAGCTGCAGTATTGATCTGTCAATGGTGGTGGGAACACGGAAATGGTGTGAGCTTCCATGTGATTTACCATGTAAACAATTCCTATTCAATACGCATGCACTCGTACATATCAGCAGGGCCATGGCTGCTTGAGATGGCACAAATGGCCAATGTATTCCAGCAGGGCGGCATTTGCTGTGTAGCTGCGTTGGTGTGTGACAGATGGGAGTGACAGGGAGAGGGGCGGGCTCTCGTCAGCGTTGGGAGGAATTTCTTGCTTGCAGCATTGTGGACCTCTGGCCCCCCTGTGGCAATAGTCCTACAGCCCAGCGTATTATATTATACATTCACTCGCATAAGTGTAATGTACTTCATGAAATACGTGCCAAATAATGTATGCGATTGCTTGTAAACGTTGCTTAAGCTATGCATTATGTTGTGCAGTATCATGGGGAGCAAAAATTGTATTCATATTTATTTAAGGACGGACATAGCCTGCCAACAACAACGAAAATGAATGTGTTTACGTGGTATAGATTGAACATAATTAAAAAATGCGTATTTAATCTAAGTCTCCAAGATACCAACCCCATGTCTTCATCGTGCAAGATGGACAACATCTCGATTTAAAGCTTTCGTGACTGCAGGGATTCATCTTCTTGGTTCTTTCGGTAAAGTCACGTAGAAGGGAAATAATAAAATAATAAAACATCATAAAATAATTCTCTCGACGTTTCGGCTACAACCCAAGCAGCCGTCCTCAGGCTGCTTGCGTTGTAGCCGAAACGTCGTGAGAATTATTATGTTTTATTTTTATTATTTTATTATTTCCCTTCTACGTGACTTTACCGAAAGAACCAAGAAAATGGACAACCTCATTACTTGGTCTTTCTAAAAGTGTGATGGCTTAAGGGGCTCTGGTTTAAGGTTTGGCAAAGCTGGTCTAGTGCTTACTGCAGTATACCCTAATGCAAACGAACCTCTCGGACGCCAATGGCACCCACAAGAACGCAGTGGGACCCTCAGTAATCTGTTGATTACTCAAGGCAGGTATGGGTGAGCTTTGCACCAGCCAATTGAATCCATAAACACTGGGGAGGAGTGGTTATCGCCCAGTATCATATTCCAATCACCAACAACCACACCATGGAAATGGTGACGTAATTTTCCATGCTGACTGAGGCATTGGCCGTCCATTCGGGCACCATGGGTTCATGTGAATAGTTGGATAGCGGGCCTTGCCTCACCAGCTGTCGAGCTCGGGTTGTGTATGGCTAATGAAATCACTAAAGAGTGTTTATCAAGGCCGTAGCCATGGAGTCAACATTGGGGGGACCAAATCTTCCAGGGGGTCTAGGGGTCCCAACCCAGAAAAAATATCTAAATTTGAAAACTAATTTCCTGTCATTTCCTGCCTAAAATATTAAATAATTCACTAACACACGGGATGGACTTTTTGTTTATTTTTTTACAATAATGTCTAATAGTGTATTGTATTACATTGCTCTGTTTTTACTTTTGTATTTCTTGTTTCATTGTATGTAATGTTTGAGATTAGGGATTAATAAAGTACAACCACAACCACAATCGTATAAACAGCAATCTATGCATTGATTTATATGAAGACAAGTCCAGATATTGTGGCCAAGGTTTAGCAAATTGCTCTTTTTATTTACATAGCATAGCAATTATTATAACTTGTTTTATATTTGTATATATGTGTCCCCCCCCAATATATATTATAATTACGGCCTTGGTGTATATATCAATTTCATTTCAGACATGTATTGGCTCTGTATTGTTTTTCCTTATTGCAGTTAAAGCTATGGACGGTAACAAAATGGCATGGTTGTGCACACAAGTGCCCTCGCCATTCCTCTCCCACCGTTTATTGATGCCATTGGCCTACTGGAAGCTCGTGCATATTTAGTAATCAACAGATTATGCAGGGTCTCACTACCCCTCCCTGCGCTGCCTCCCCCCACCACCCCACTACGTGGGATGTCATCTGTTACACCAGACAGTGGCAGCAGAGTAGGACTGGCAAGGACTCTGGTTGGAACATTCATTCATTGGCCCTCTTAGGCACCGAGGCTGGACACTGAGGTCTTAATATAAGCTTTCCTAAGGCTTAGGTGTAGGTTGCAAATTGGGCCCCTGGAGTAGGATCGCAAGTCCCGGTAGCAGGATAGATGTTGCGATTGTAGAGGATATTGTATATTTAGGCAGTAATAGCCGTATTTCATTGAGCTGTGAAAGTGAGATCAAGGGGCATATTGCTTTATCAGGTCAGGTACCGGTTAACATAAATTATTGTAGCATGTGGAAATCCAGGATTAAAGCTGGATTAATAACATTCACTAGGGAGGCAATTAGATGGCAGAATTTTCTAGAACACCCATGGTACCTCTTTAAATACTAATCCATTACACCACACATTAAAATATCATCTCTGAATATTATCATTCGTTTAGGCCTTCTAACTCCATGACAAATACTGTGCACTGTTATATAGCTTAACATTTGTTGGCTGTAAACTGTAATACGTGATTATGATCAGACACTTCATTTAGCTTTCAGTTTTTTTTTAAATAAAATTGTTAAACGTACGTGAAAGTATTTCATGGTGAGATTGCAGGTCAGGCTTGTCATCCAGATCATTGGCCACTGAAACAAACCAGACGGGGATAGAGAGAAGGAAGCCATAGCATGGGTCAGCACATATACAGAGCTGCATTTACACATTCACATGGAGTTATTTCCTCCTGAAGGTGCTGCAGAAATTATGTGTATTCAATAAATACCTCTGGAGGCCATTACGTTCAGCTGGAATCAACTACTTTAAATCAATACATTTTCTTTTAAAGCAAGGTGAGGGTCAGTGAGTCGGTGTTTTCCCACTCAAATGAGCATAGCGTGGTGCTTTGTTGGCATTGAGCCAGGAGTGGGAATTCCATATTCTAAGGCAGAGGTCATAAGAACACCACTATTGACCTCCCACAGAGCAGTACTCGTGTTTTCAGCCCTGGAGGGATGAAAAAAGACCTGAATTTTCCCTCCCAATCAGGATTTTAGTCAATCACTCTAACCGTAGCTCTACCGGACTAGGATTCAGTCAGACAATATTTATTTCAACAAGACCATACCTGGGCATGAAAATGTGTTCTTATTTTTTTGTATGTATTTTTTCAGGTTTGTCCTTTACATTTTGCGATGTAAACGCCAGCTGCGTAATATTTAAAATGATTCCACAGGATCTTGAACATTCACTTCATGCCAGATCACACATTTCATATTTTACATAGCATTACCAGATACAAGTACAATCTGAGCCAATAACAATTGTTTTAATTTACAAGCCTATCCAGTCACGAATGCAATTGACCGATATTGGTTGTTGACATTGCAAAATTGTCCAAAAATGTATTTTGTAAAATGTAAATGTTTTTCCATTTATACCTGTTTTGACAAAACAGGAGATAATAGACCTCTCTGTTGAGAAACCTCAATACAATAAATGCATAAATTTGACACTTTCAAAGTAGATACATTTTAAGTAAAAATCAATACAATAAAAGAGGTAACTTGAGAACATTCAACAAAGGAGCGCTCACCGGCAAGATTACCAAGCCATCATGATGCCTCCCAGTGGACGTGTCTGGTAATGTGCCTTTGCCTCCAGCATAAGCAGAATTATAAACTTGTAATCTGCTATCAAAAAAAAATATGATAACCTTATCTATTAACTTGGCTATTTCAAAGAAATAAGTATGCATGATTGAATACAAATCTAGACAAAAAGAAGTGACTGTAGTTTATGTATTTTGTTGATGAAGTATTGACAGTAAATCCTAAAATTCTCATGAGTGGATCGCTGAGCTTAAGTCACAACCAATGTGTACACCTTATTCGAGTTTCCTTCTCTCGTTGTCCAACAGATTACAATATCATGGCGTTATTCAGCTTGTATTAGATTCAAAAAATGATGCAAACTACTCAAATAGAACCCACTGATATTGCGAGCATTGTCCCTAAAACATAACGCATATGTGAGCTTAGCTGGTTCATACTCTTTGGTTCTTTCGGTAAAGTCACGTAGGTATAAAATAAATAAATTACATTATAATAAATTAAATTAAATTTTATACCTACGTGACTTTACCGAAATAACCAAAGAGTATGGATCCCTGCAGTCACGAAAACTTCAAATCTAGACGTAGCTGGTTCGTAGAATTTCTTATAAACTAACCCTTCCTTGAAATAAAAATAAAATATAGCTGTTAACTACACAAAGCAATCTTTAGACCTCAGGTCGCATCTTCATGTTCCACACTTAAATACAATTGTGAACTTGTTCTGTTGTTTTACGTCACATTACAGAAATGTGTATGTTGCAACTAAAACAATGATAAACTTGAACGAAAGTACAATGTGAATTTAATATGTGTGTGAATATGAAAGTAAAAGCAAAAATACCTACTCTGCAATGCTAAAATTATATTGAGATACATTTAATAAACAGTTTGAACTGTAACAAAAAGTCATATGCACTGTTTAAATAGTGCAGCTTGTGTTTAATTCTAATAGGCCTGGGGGAATGTCCAACATTTTGGCTGGGTTATACTTTTTGTTAATCACCACACACAGGCAGTAATTTGTACCAAATTATTAAGTGTTCTGGATTTCTCTCTAACACACCAGTGTGCTGAAACTATAATAAATTGGTGTATTTGTTCACGTGACAACTTTATTTATTTGTCTGTGTCGGGTGGAGTAGGGTTTATAACACACATTGGCATTTTACTCATGCCATCTGACCCAGAAATCAATGATGAATTAGTAATTGACAGGAATCCATCACTCATCGATTCAGCAATTCAACAGTGATATGGTTCCTATACCATTGATGGCAGCAATTAAATGCAGATCATTATTTCTACGTGTTTTTCATGAATGTGATATATTACCAACGTGGTGAAGTATGTTTAAAAAAATGCAACGACTAATTATCCATGCCTTCATCCAGCAGCAGATTGCCAAATGTTTCACAAATCATAATTGTATTTTTATCCACTTTTTTATGCCGAGGGTGAGTCTATCCATAGGCCAATCTCTGTTGACTTCCCCACAGAATGGTACTCATTTTGATCGAGGGATGATGAGCCGAGGCAACCCCCCCCCCCCCCAAGACAGGATTTGAACTCACAACCCCCTTGATTGCGAGCTTCTTCCTCTACCGCTGAGCCTCCTGGCCAGATCACTATAACTATATTTTATATCTTGACGTTTCAAAAATAAAGCATCATACACAATTGTTTACTTATTTCATAGGAACAAAAATGTTTAAAGTGTTGACGAATGAATTGTGTCTATGAAAGTTGATGTGTATTATGAAAGGAATTTTAAAGCCTGTTTAGACTATGACATGAAAATTATTCAATTATGACACTGACCAATTTCATTTCAGGCAAGTGACATTTCAGGCAACAAGCCTTATAGCGTTCATGCTTCATTGACTTTATTAAACTGTTAAATTAAATGTTACAAGATGTGACAACAAGAGCCGTATGAAGGACAGTGTTCACATCTTGCCGCGCATGATTACAGTCAGTCTTTACATAAAACAAAAATTATTAGATATTAATTATTAGATATTTTATGTCTTGTTCCTTGAATTCTATATTATCATAATTATATTCTAATTTAATGCACAATTATTCTATATTTCTTCTAACTTTTCCCATTTCCAAATTGAGATTAGTTTAAAGCCTATATAATTTTTTACAATTTAACATTCATGTTGATGAAACGTGGAGCACAAAATATTCTAATGTTTACCATCAAGCTCTTAAAGATTGAATGACATTGAGTCCAACTGCCATTATATGGAAACAACATATATTCCAAAGTGATCACAATTTAGTATAACTACGGTAGTTGTTTTTATTAGATTATAAAAAATACTATAGCTTTACTCTTTCGACTTATCTTATCAGTATTTTTTGTTTCATTGCATCGTTCATAAAAAAAAATCAGCATTTGTGATAAATTGCACTACCCTACAGATCACGTATTTGTACAGCATGCATTAAATATAAGTACATTTGTGTATGATCCTATAAATATGTTATTATAATTTTGGGAACTTTTAAATTCAGAGAAAAAGTTGAATGACAACTTTTATCTGAAAAATATGTAAGAAATGTGCGATGTATTTTGGAATAAATTGGTTGGAAAACTGTAACCAAATTCTACAGCAAATGCATAAGAACAGCAGCGTGTGTGAGTAGGATGAATACAAAGTTTACTGTGGGCAGAATTCCATAATAGTAATGTATGTACGTTGCAATAACAATTTCCATGTCATACATTTTAATAACCCGTGTTTAAATGGACCCGATTATAAAATGCTAAATGAAACAAGACTGTGTAAAATACTCAAGATATAATGTACTGTACTAAGTTAGATGTTACAAAAAAATTCTGTAACATGGGATTTACAAAAAATTATAATGATTATACAATTTAAATATGCATCTAACACGTAGGCTTTCAAGATGTGTGTGCTGAAGTAGTAAATATTTAGCACGTTTTGTTCACGTGACAAACCTTACTAATTGGCTGTTCAGGGTGGATGTGGGGTTACAATAAATTTATATTTACGCGATATAACCCAAAAAACTGTATTATGAACAATTGACTTTGCTCAAATTATCAGCCATATTGTATTATTGTCATGGACATACTGCAAAAACGCAAACAATGCACTCTTACTAAAAACAGTCTAAACTTTCTGGAATTTTTTTATAACGACCTCCAACCCTGCCAATGGAGAATAGGGGTTATGCTTTCGCTACGTTGTCCCCACCTGAAGAAGGACGCTTGTGTTGCACCCGAAACGTCGTGATTTAATTTAGCTGTTTTCATTTAATTTATTTTTTACATACGTGACTTTACCGAGAAAAAATAACAAAGAGTGAGAATAGGGAGGTTATGGTGGAACACGTGGGGCCTACGGATCCTGATGGCTTGTAAACTTTGGGGATGTGGACGTAGGCCCTGTTGACCATAAACTGAACTATACTTAGTCCAGCAAATTCCGGTTCCCAGTGTGTGTGGAAACATAGCATGTGTGGCACTGACCAACTTTTAAAAATAAAGAAAATGTAAAATTTCGATTTAAAGCTGTCGTGACTGCAGGGATTCATCTTCTTGGTTCTTTCGGTAAAGTCACGTAGAAGGGAAGTAATAAAATAATAAAAATAAAACATAATAAAATAATTCTCACGACGTTTCGGCCACAACGCAAGCAGCCGTCTTCAGGTGAGACCAGGTCTGTCGAGGCGATAGACCTGGTCTCACCTGAGGCGACAGACCTGGTCTCACCTGAGGACGGCTGCTTGCGTTGTGACCGAAACGTCGTGAGAATTATTTTATTATGTTTTATTTTTATTATTTTATTACTTCCCCTCTACGTGACTTTACCGAAAGAACCAAAAAAGAAAATGTATTTTTTTCAGTTTAACATTAACAACGCTGCCTTTATTCCAATTGACTGATAGGACTTAATTTAATCGAACTGTCAGGATGTCATTGTCAAAATGGTCCAGTTAAAACAAATGTCATTGGGTCTGATTCTTAACCCAACCGATCATGCACACCAGCAA